AGGAAGAGGAAGAGGAGGAGGAGAGGAAGCAGAAGCAGAAGAAGAAGAGAAGGAGGAAGAGGAAGAGGAAGAGGAGGAGGAGAGGAAGCAGAAGCGGAGGAAGAAGAGGAGGAGGAGGAAGAGGAGGAGGAGGAGGAGAAAAAATAAGCAGCAAGTCCTCCCAAATTTGAAGGAGGCTAAGGAAAAAAATAGAGGTCTCTATGTTGGATTTTCAAGGAAGAACTCTGCAGCATTTAACTCTGGAAAGCAGCCGATGGCTCACTGGGGTCGGGCTATGTAAGGGGATCCCTCCGAGGACAAGAATTTTAAAGGGTTGGAAAAACAAAACCTTCCTCAAGAGAACCGGAGGGCTTTTTCTTCAGCCCCCACCCCCGGTTTCATTTCGTGGCATGACGTGTCAGGGTTTGCAGAACGGAGTTTCATGCGAATCAGTCCACAAATCAAAGAGTCCTTATCAAGTGAAGGGGAAGAGGCGATGGGCTGATTGATATGAAAAAGCTGACCCACCTTTTGGGGTTTGGGGGATGAACTTGGCCACACTGCATGCCTCCCTTTTGGACCCTCAATTATATATGGATAATAAACTCAGAAACTGTATTATTCAAGCAGCAGCTGGCTAGAAAATCGAGCAAACTTATTAAGAATAATTTTTCCCTGATAGCTGAGAACGGGATGGTGAGAGAAATGTTCTTACCAGAAGAAACTTGCAGTCAGGACTAGGTGGAGAAGAAAACAGCAAAAACTGTGATTAAAGATCCTCTCAGACCCACCTATTTATGGTTCTGTTTCCAAGGGACTTAAACACCAATTCCGATATCTCATATACCAAGGAATTTGAAGGACAAAGCATTCTTATGCGAGTCATTACAATAAATGAGGCACTTTAACAAGGCAGGTCATGATTCCAAGCAGATGTCTCCTTCCTTCACATCAATTCAGCAAACCAGCTTTTACAAAATAAAAATATTTTCTCCCCCTATACAAAGGTTCAGAATCTCCTGTGCAATTTGTCAGAGGCATTTGAGGTTAGCCGAAAACTTTTAGAAGAGGAAACGGTTACTCTTTTTACTTGGTTTAAAACATAATCACGCTCATCTTAAAAATAGTTCTACTTATTTAACTCTATCAAGAAACAGAACAATTTAAACAAAAGGGTAATTCAACACCAGCATTACATTTCTTCATCCGAGCAAATTATCTAGGTATCATTATATGGCTATACAGTTGCAGAGAATCTTCTGTAATTTCAAAATGCATGCTAAATGTAACACTATTTTTTTTTTTAACTAGCAATAAAAACCTTGCCGAATATTCTGATTATTTCATTCTAGTCCCGTAGCCTTCTGTTTTAACATGAAATTCCTATATTTGATATGGTGTCCCTGGGATGCTTAATCCAAAATTATGCATCTGCAATAGCCAATCAGATCAAAACAGTGAGGGCAAAAGAAGCTTGAAGTATCTTCCAGGCCATCAGAAAACTATGGAAATAATTTTCAATCAACCAACCAATTAAAATGAAAGTTAAAATCCATTTAGCCTCAGCTCATAAAACAGAAGAAAGAGAGGAATGCACCCCCCCACAACCATATATGCTTACTTGTATGGACCGACGTAGAGAATTTCTGCATCTGACATAATTGGCTAAATTGGCTGAAATACTTGATAAATTAATGCCACGATGGCACCTTGATACAACTAAGAGCTTCTCTGTGCCTCTTTCCTTCTATGCAGGCTTCTTCTAAAACTCTCCCCCCCCCCCTTATTAAAAAAAGGCTCTACAAGTTACTTTCCCAGCTGCCTTGCACCCTACAAGTTATTTACTTACACGGTATCATCAATCAATCCAACGGTGGGTCTGCGGAACAATGTAAGCCTAAAAGATGGGTCAACTGCTACTTCATGGAATGTACAATGTGGACAAAAGGAGGAACAACTATGCGAGGAGCAGGGAAGAATGACCAAGAATAATGAAATAACCGAAATATTTACAAGGGCATCATTTTCAAAGGGGCTGAGGATATTGGGTTAAACCAAAAACTTTATAAGAGAAGGTCAGTTTCGTTAGGAATTCAGTACTGCCTTAATTAGAGAGATACGGACTCAGTCAGAATCTACGCTATTGCCACAGCAAACTTTTTGTAACTAATGAGTTCTAATGGCTAATATATATAATGTATATAGTGTGTTTGAGTCAGTTTTGACTTCCGACAACTGCCCGGGCAAATTCATGTAGTTTTCTTGGGAACATTTTTGGAGGTGGTTTGCCATTGCCTCCTTCTTAGAGCTGAGAGAGAGGGACTGGTCCAAGGTTACCTAACTGGCTTTGTGCCTAAGGCAGGACTAGAACTCACCATCTCCTGGTTTCTAGCCAGGTGCCTTTAACCATTTCACCAAACTGGGTCTCCAATGGCTAATATACAAATAACAAGAAGTGGTCCCTAAGCTCACATTGTCCTCTAAAGACCTTTGCATGGTTGGACCTAGGAGCAGAAATGGGTTTGGCTTATCACAGCAGTCAATAAGTATATTAACTTGAACCAAGTCCCACCTTAGATCTTAGCACTTAACATATGAAAAGGGATATTTGATGGTATAGAACATTGGGAACAAGGCTTGTGGGCACCCCTATGCACCCCTAGATCCTTGCCTTGGTGTGAGCAGGTGGAATGTGGTCTATAGTGATCCATGGTATTCCAGCAAACCAGCATAATTCAGTTGTGCATGAAGCCTGGATGGACCATGGTGCATTGGAATAAGCTTCCAAGAACAACCTCCCCCACCTTGGAGGTGCTCACACAATGATTTGGAATTGGAATGGCCAGATTTCAGGTTGGAGAAGGCTGGCATCAAAATATAGGAAGCTAAAAGCACTTGAGCTTGGAGAATTCCATTCCGATTGACAGATCCTGCACTTGCAGATCAGAATTTAATTACCCGCAGCCTTCACACTTCCTGAATGTTCTGACATAATTGCCAGCTCAAACTACATACCAAGTGCATTTAAAATGTATCGTTGGAGGATGGGAACTTTTGAAAAACAAATCTTCTGAGATAAAATACAGCTCAGCTGTGATTTTTTTTTTTTTTTGGGTGTATGTGTGCAGAGTTTTCAAGAAAAGGAAATATAATGGATGAAAGAGGAGTGGAGCAGAACACAGGAAATGACATGGAACGGAGATAGGCTGATTCCTTCATTCATACCAAGGAAGAGTGGATAAATATAATCCACTCCAGGCTTCAGGAGGCTGTCCGCATAGTGCTTTCTGGTGGGGTCTCAATACGTGGGATCACCACCACCAATGGCCAACCATATTTACTTCCCATCGTGCCCTTCTTCTTGCATCAATCCCTTACATTGCTGGATGTTGAAATGGTTGATGCCCACTTGTGCTTGCTCTAATAAGGGCTCCAACAGCTGTCTGGGAATACCAAATGCATCCTTTCATTCCTGTTGGTTGTATCGAGTAGGAATAAAGACATCCAGCATATCTGGGGAACACGGGGGAGGGAGAGGGGGAAGGTAGGTTGGACTAATGGAGAACAACCTTAACTATCTTATGTGAATGTGTATGTGAGGGAGGTATTCCTGGTGCAGGAAGGGAGAACATGTGACCTCCACATTTTGCAGAATTAGAAACCATCAGCCAGGCTGCTAGGAGTTATAATTCAGGAACAACAGGAGGGCTATATGTTCTCCTGTCTGTCCTAAGCCAATTACTGATTTCTGAACATACAGAAGGCTGCACTTTGAGCACTGCAATGTTCTAAGAATAACCACCATTAACACCAAGCCAATATAGCTTCATTCATCCAAGCTGGCTGTGAAAAATATATCTAAATGCTGGTGACAACTTTCCCTCTTAAAATCTTAAAACTTTATCTACCTACTGTGGGCCTTTAGTGTCTCCATGTCCGACGGAAGAGAAGGAAACTATTCTTACTAAAAGCTCACACTCTGTCTCGCACACGATGCTCATTGTATGCTAGATCAAAAATCCCAAGGGTGCTACAGTCACATTTATACATTTCCCTGTGGTCCTATTTCTGCATTTTTTACTGTGGAGAGGACCTCACACCCATTTCTGTGCTTGCCATTTCAGCTTGTAACTACCATGCTTCCTGCTTGTTAATCTCTTGTAATGATTTTAGTGGGCTTGTCTAAAACAAATCAGTTAACATATATTAGGAGGATCATGAGAAGCTATTTGTGTGCAGTCATTTGTGGTTGAGATCCATGGATCAGTGGGAAGAATTTTAAGGCGTAACTGTACGATCAGCAAGAGGAGTTTGAGACTACCAGCCAACTGTGACCCTTCTCTGGCCTCAACAGGTGATCAGTGTGGTCAAGAGTTTATCACCCTGATTATATGACAAGAGATCCATGCCCGTTAAGCTACTATGAGACCACTGATGATTCTCTCAGGGGGGTACTAAGCTTTCTCCAAAAATCATTCGGTAGTTAGCTCCATCCACTATTCCGAAATTCTACAAACTTCTCCTTCTGAAGCAAGGAGAGAGAATCTCAAGCCAACCTTTGGAACTACAGCTCCCATAATTCCTTGACATTGGAAACAGCGGATGGGAATTGATGTCCAAATTTTATAGAGTCCAAAGTAATGTTTGTGTGTGTATGTGTGCCTTCGAGTCAGTGTTAACTC